TTTTATTAATAACTTTATAAATAATATTATTAAGAATAAGTTTAGAAATAAACAGACTAAACATACTTCTTATCCGCGGATCGTATAAATCCAATCTGTCTCTTTCAAATAACACTTCTAGTTTTTAAAATTGTGTTAGTCACTTTTGTCGCAGAATCTGTTCTACATTGACAAATACTTAAACTCAAGTTAAAAATTTCATAGTTAATATTATATATTTTGTGTTGTTCGTGACACGAAAAATCTCAGAACATAAAATGACACATACGAACGAAATACATTGAAATATGTTTTAAACTAAGTATTTTTTAATAAACGTAATTGATAGATACTTCTATAATAATATTAGCTCGACTAACCCGGCAAATTGTAACTTTTCACTTTTCCCAACCAACTTCTTTTAAATTAAACATGTTGAACTTCATTTGTAGATGGTCAATTATACAAAGATCATTGAATATATAAAGCTGACAACTGTATAATTAATTTTATGTACTTGAAATAAATTTTATCGATTATTTTAGAAAAATTAGTATTTTCTTCATTGCGGACATTTTTTGAAACTGTTCAATTTTCGAAAATAGCACGTTTTATTTACACGTGGCCGCCAATTAAATGAGTTATTGTATTGTACTTTCAGTCTACGTTTACAATTTTCATAAATAACATTCGGATTTTGAGATATTAACATTATTAATTTTGCCCAAGGCATTCGCTTTGCAAGGAGTTTCACTATATGTAAATAATAACAGTTATACTTTTGCGATAAAAGCGCATTAACATGACAAAAAATATATATTTTTAATTTTTCATATTAGAAAGAAGAGAAAAGTCTTACATTTTGTGTGTTAATGTGCAGTTGCATGGTTCAATGAATAAATTAAAACGATTGGTTGTTGTTATTTGAATAATCATTTTAACTACCATTGATGACACACGAGACCGTTAAAATAAATAATATCATATGTCCTGTATGTATTTATACCACAGAATTATTATAATGATCGGGTCTCATAGTTCGGAGGCTTACACAAAGATTATATTTATATTATTATTGTTGTTGATTTAAAAAAGAAGGGGCACAAATGCTGGCGTCCCATATGAGAATACAGCAAGCGGTCTGCTGCGTATAATAGGCAAATATAAGCCCGAAGTGGTCCACTTCTGAAGGGATATCGTTCATTGTTGTGCCTTTATTATTGAGTGTTATTTTATTATAACAATATTACCGTGTTTTCTTTACTTTTAGGGAACGTGCTCCTTGCTCGCATAGGATCTATTCATTTTACTGTGTATTCTCAAACGGGCCAACTTTTTTTCGAGTATCTAAATTTTTGTTAAAAAAATAATGGTCATAATACGTACAACTACAACGGTACATAATCTATAAGCGAAACCGTTTTTATGATTTACATTTCAAACACAATCATTATAACGTAGCAAAAATTTACTATTTTTAAAACAAATGATGGTCGTATAATAATAAAACCGTATGACAGTTATTTGATTGTACTTTGTGTTTCCTTTTGACTACTAGGGTAAGTTTTCCAAAAAAATGGCTTTACTTATAATCATTCTCTCATCGCAACATGCATTTTTTAAATAATTAAAAGTATGCTCGACTAAAATTTAGTCGAGTGTACATTTAATGTAGTTCAAATTAATTCACAGTGTTATTAATATGATATTTTTATAAACATTGGTAGCTAATAATTTGTAAAACGTTTCATTGATGGACAATTTTTTTTATGATATAAACATACAAATAACATATTAACATATTTTTGTGAATTTAAATCACAGCAAGTTTTTTTTAAGCACAGTTTAAATTTATCTCCTAACAGTTTTGCCATTAAAGGTATTATAAGTGTCAAAATTATTATTTCCTGTGCAAGTTTATCTAACCACATGTACATATATAATTAGTTAATAATGAACGCATCTGTAGTTTTATGACTACTGATACTGTTAAAAAATATATGTCAAGTTATAAAGTGGGTAAAACCGAAGGGTAAACTTCTCCGAGATTTTACGTCAAAGGGGTTAATATTTCAAGGGTCGTTACTTAACACTTCAGTATAGTGTCCTTATGTGCTAAATTGTGGTTAATTCGCGTGCGGTTAATTGAACAATGAATATGATGAATTTCCGTTTGTGAAAATAAATATTAGGATTAAATAATACCAAAATGGAGAGTGGATTCATTACACAACAATCTTTTTATACGAAATAAATAATGTTATAAATGTACACACGAAAGGTTTTAAGCATTCAAATTTGATCTAGTAATCCACAAATCTTTTCTTATACTTCAGCGCTGCATTGAAAAATATGATATAATTTTAAATACAGTTATATAATAATAATTATTTCAATGCAGTGATTGCATAAAGCGTTTTCCTAGGAAGCTTAATTCGGACTAATCATATTTTTTTCTGGTTGATAATATCAACTTAAAAACCGTAATAACACACCATAACTTCAATTGTTGCACACATAAGTATGAATTGGAAAAACTAAGAACAGCCATCTCGTATAGAAGTCTGTCTCATATTTCTGTCAAGTCTGCATACAGTGTACACAATTTGATAAAAAAATATTTAGCTTACTTTATTTGTCCATTGGAACTACTAATAAAAGCGTTCGATAAAAGTTTAGCTATTGAAAAGGCAACTTTTTCAAAAATCAACTGTGATTATCAAATGGTTTTATTTAAAAAGTACAAGCGGACTGTCCGCCCCGTGAGTTGCGTTTGTGACACAGATCAATACATAAAACTACTAAAATGTGTACATTCGAGTGCAAAATTAATAGATGAAGAATATGTTTATAAATGTGTTGACTCGACAGCGCATGCAAACCACCGCCGTTACACTTTTTATCGTTTCTAACCCAATGCCTACTAAGAATTAGTCTCAGGGCGTGCCGGACGGTTCTCCGCGGGTCTCTTACTCTGCAAATTAACGTTTGTGCTGTGCCGTCCACAACAATGCTGTTAAATAATAAGTCCATTCCGCCCCTCCTGAAGGTTTTTTAAATAATTACACTCTTTACTGCACGTTCAGTCCCTACTCGCGGCCGGTCCACAGTCGTTACTTTATTGTTATTATTATTATTTTTATTGCACCGATTGTCCCGAGGTATTGATCTGAATTTGATCGCATTTGAAACCGCTCTAATGCTCTCGCGACGTGCCCTGTTTTTTATACGGTTCAACATTAGCGTAACGTGTCAATAACCGCCCGTCGTTTTGCACACATACATTTTTTTCCGACGTACAAAACTTCCTAAGGCTTTGCACTGTTTGATGGACTGAATTGAAATAACACGTAACAAACATTACAAAAGTCTACATAAAAAAAAAACAGTAACACTCATTAGATTAATAAAGAGAAAATGTAGTGGTTGAAATCACTTTCATAGTATAAAATAATTGGATACAATATCTAAGATTATGAAGATGAAACAAAATTTAGTCGTCCGGCCATAGTTACATTCGCCGTTTTTTCTTAATTTTTGTGTTACTTTATTTTTTACGTGCACTTTCTTTTTTATACCACACAATATTCGATTATATGGTATAAAATGTTAACAGATTTTTACAGAATATTTATAAACACATCACAATATCATCGAATACGATTTAGTTTCTCCATTCCAATTAAATACTACCCAAACCGTTCTGGAATATACCTGACAATAAAAATGTAATTCTATACATTAAAACCAATTAAAATCTAATGCAAACAACAAATACAACTCAACAAAATCCATAATAAGACTTGTATATAAACATTTATTAATGTGTTTTTTTAATTTTCCACTTACTTACAAATGTCAATGCTTAAATATTGATATTTAATATTAATTAATTTATATTACTTATTATTTGATTGGGATTACAAGAAATTAAAATTTAATGAAGTTTCATATCAATTAGGATATACAACTTCAATTTATTTTTTATTTTAATGTTGGTTTTAACTAAGATTATTTTAGTGCTTTGCAAATTAAAGTCCTAAAACAGTTTATTAGAATTTCAACACTCAGCAAGCAAATAAATCACTATATTTTTTTAATGATTTTTCATTGGGCTACTTTTTTGTTGTTACACACACCTCATAAATAGAATTAGTATATTATAAGTGTATTTTGTATAAAAACGAGGCGTGGAATTTATAGGATTATAGCGAAAAATTTACCTTCTTTTTAAATGTATAATTCAAAACTAACATCAATGTTAAATAATCCGAAAGAAATTTTGCGAGAGATTAATTTAATTTCTCCTCTATGTAAAAAAAAAAACATTAATATAACAATTTCCAGATTGCGCTTCTGAGAAGTTAAATTATTTTACTTGTGATCATAAAAATGTTCAAATCTGAAAATTCAGTTAACACATAAACTTTGCACACTTACGTTTTTTCATTTGAATTATTTTTGATAAATATATTTAGAGAAACAATAAACTCGAATTGATTGAGTAAATTATAAAAGTAATTGCGAATTCTTTAATACTGAGGTCCTAGTAAAGAAGAGCGTATACATTTTAAATTTAACTTCTCTAGTAATCAATTTTTTTTTTTTGTTATAACACTACTAAGAAGAGCCCATCATTTATATAGCATTAGTAGGATTCTCCTATTGTTTCTGCTAAGCAGAATATATGTATTGTAGTACAGCTTAAGCTGAAGACCGCACATACTATTTTATTCATTTCGTTTTAATTATGTACTTCTCGTGTGAAAATATTAATATAGATTGTTACTTTCACAGTAAATGTACGATAATTATATTAATTTATCTCAACTTGTTTTAAGTTTCATTAAAGAACGCACTTAAAATAAATTTATACCGCCATTTTAGTAACTATGATATCATGAACCTTACGGACAAAAGATGATATGCCAAAAGAATTTTCACACACTTTCACGCAAATATATTTTTATAAAGTATATTATATATAATGATTGTACGAATATTTGCAACAACAGCTAAACAATTAGATTTATATTACTTTTATTTTACACAATATTTACATAAAACAGAAATGTATAAAATGTATTGTTTCATTTCTTTAACAATTAAAATCTAAATATATTATTTAACATAGAATAATAAATAATAACATTGAGAATTATTATTACTTTAACTTTCAAGATTTTTCGCATGTAATACAAATTTATCGAATAAAAAAATGGAATAATAATTTTCCTTGCAATTGTTTGTCACTATTAAAATCATAATTATACATTTTCGTTTTATTAGTCCGATACAACCGAAAATAGTAGAACGTTCATATCTATTTCAGTTGTTCATTTTGAAAAGACATAGTTTTTTTTCAATTGTTATCATTATAATTAATGTAAATAGTACTTTAAATTGAAATATAATAAAAATTGGTTCTTTTGTTAAAAACTAATACTTTTGTAATTTTTGAAAATTCTCAGGGTATTATTTCAGAGACAAAAAAAAAAATGAAACGTTCAACTATCTAATTAATTAATAAATCTAAAAAGTAACTTTTATTAACAGCTTACATTTGATCAAAAGTAAGAGTAACCATTTCAGTCAACTATTTCAGTTTTGATAGGATCGCTAGGCGTAGTAAACTGTTGCGGCGGAGGAGTTGGTGTCCGATTCCGATCAACGATTACACCTGACCAAGGACCTATCATCCTTTGAAGACCCAAAGTCTGCCGAAAAGCTTGTAGCCGATGAGCGGCTTGTAACTGTTGCTCATAGTACCGCTGCAATAAACTTGGTTCCCAAGTCCTCGTTTCTTCATCTTCGTCACTACTGCCGGTGGTTGTTTTTTGTTTTTTAGGAGGATCCGGCGCGAGTAAAGAGGCCACATCAAATTGTCTCTTTTGCGACCTGGCCGTGGTAGGGGCTGATTGCATCGGTTGGGGTTGAAAAAAGAAAGGTGGCGGCACTACGGGCGGCGGTGACGGCCACATGGCCGGCGACAACGCGGCTACGGAAGGTGACGGCGGTGGAGGTGGACTGGGCGAGTCGTTACCATCATCGTCCACGGACAAACCCATGTGCCGACGGACTTTGCGTTGGGCTTTCCGTCGCCTGAAGTCTCCTTTCTTGAAGTCGTCTACGTTGGCTGGATGAATGGCCCAGTAGTGGCCCTTGCCGTTAGCGCTCCTACCAGCTTTGACGAAACAGTCGTTCAACGACAAATTGTGTCTTATGGAGTTTCTCCAACCCGGTCCTCTGGTGCGGAAGTACGGGTAATTGTCTAGTATGTACTGGTAGATATCAGACAGCACGAGTTTGCCTTCGGACGATTGTAATATGGCCATGGCGATGAGCCCGATGTAACTATGTTGTGGCTTAGGCTCGTCCGGATTCTGACCGCCCGGATGGAATAGAGTTACCGGAAACCTGGGAGGATATAGTCCGGTAGCCGCGGTCGGATACACGGGGCAGACGGCACCCCATCCACTAGCAGATAGGCGAAGCCGTTCGGCTTGCAACGCGTAGTTGTACAAATGTAAACGGTAACGGTTCAGGCTGGCCTGCGAGTTAGGCTCCGAGCCGTCGTCGGTGGGCCTGCTACACATGTCGGCGGTACGAGCGCGAATGAACCGTTGATGAAATGTCCGTAGAGTAGGTACAACGGTCCCCCGGTGTACGCCTACGAGTCGCGCCCCACCACCAGTGCGCGTCCGCGGTACAACAACAAATACACAAACATTGTAGCGGCGGTGTACGTGCGTAAATACAAATTTGTTTTATTTTTATTTTCTATGTGTACCGTTTACATTTTGTTTCGATTTCTCGTACGCCTCTTCCTCTCACCGTGTTTCAATCGGTTCCCTTCCATGACTTGTCCCGTCCGGCCGGACAGGCTACGAGTATGCGCGAACAATTGTGAATGTCTATACGTGTTTGTATGTATAGAGTGCCTACATGAATTGTATGTGTGCGTGTGCAAAAGAAAACACTGGTAAACGCATTATTTGCCGGGAGACTTTTGGGCGTGACGCTATACGAGCTCTGCGATTGGGTCGGCCGAGAACCGCCCCCGGTTCCGCTGCGCTGTTCGTGCTCCGTACACCAGTGAGTACCACGCGGGTTAGCCCATTTTTCGGTTCAACACCGTTGGACGCGACAGAACGCAAGCGGTGGTAGTAACCGGGCGAGGAATTGAGGGTAAGAGGTAGTTATAGAAGGTTTTCAGACAGATTTTACATAATATTATAAGGTAAATAAACGACACCGTAACTATGATGACATCGAAGTCTGGATGAAAATTGTGTAATTATTAGGTAGAGAGTTGAAAATATTTTTAAAAAAGGGTATGAAAATCGCTTAAAAATTTAAATCGTATATGTTTTAATTGTGTCATTTTTAATATACGAATAACGATCAACGGTTATTAAGCGTATAGATCAGAGATTTCTTAATGTTATGTTCGACGTTAATATAAATCTGACCTTTCGGTGAATCGATTTGTGCGACTGATTTTGGTTTTATTTTGCCATCGTAAATATTTAAATTTGTCATGGAGTTTTATAAAAATATATATTTGCAATAAAACTGTTGACCATTTGTCATTACAATAGTACTGTAATAATTGCGATATTACTAAAATCCAAAAAAATATAGTTAACACTTAAAGTAGAGATAATATAGAATAAAAGCTACAAATATATACTAAGTAAAAAACTGCTCATATGTATCTCGTCAAATATACAATCATCACCGACGCTAAAAAATACATATTTTGTAGTGGAAAAACATCAAATAGTGTTATAATTTACTTTTAATAAATGACTTACAGTAAAATCAACATATATATATATTTAAAAAATTCATGATCATGTATTTGTTATTTATATTATAATTATGATTATATATGATTTTGAATTAGAACGCAATCACGAGTAAAGATCAAACAAAATTAAAAAATAATCATGAATTCAACTTATTAGGATTTGGCCCTTTCTTAGTTTAAAAAATCAACGTTCTACATAATAGTTATATTATTTAGAATAAATATAATAATAGCAATAAATATTCAAATAATTAAGAGACTGTAAAAATTATTTTACTATAGGAGAAGATTATAGCAAATTTGAAATAATATAAAAAAATAACTAATTTTTAAATTATAAGCTTAAAATAATATATGTATATAAATTTTATCTACTAAATAAATGAGCATATAAAATAATGGTAATAATTTATTTATTAAAATTTATCAATTGTAAAGCTTGTTTTATCATAAATTAACTCGATTTTATATACTATTATTGAAGTTTATTTTAGCTTCGAAACGAAGCTGAGAAGATATTAATTTTACTATGATGTGTTTTTTTTTTTGAGCTCTCACCTGACCGATTTCTTTCACCGATACGTTAAAAGATCACAAATCGTATCTAATTGAAGTCATTGCCCTTAAAAATTGATAAAAATTTCCCCTGTTCCCTGTAAATCCCCCCCAAAAAATTACAATTTTTAAAATCGATAAATTTTGACATATATTTCATTTGATTTTCTTAAAACTACCATAAATTTTTAAAAACGAATAAATCAAAATAATTTTCTTCTAAGATACCTTAGATATTTCTCTATCATTTTATATAAATTGTTTGATAACTTGACACTTTGCCTGCCTACAAAGGTGGATTCAAAATAGCAAATTTTTCATAAAAGTCAATTTTTCAACTTAACTTTTGAAAATGTTCCGGAAACACTGCGCCCTTTAAACATATGTTAAATTAAAGCTTATGTTACACACTATTAATTAAAAAAAAAATTGTTATGATGAATTATCTTGTACATACCTCTATTGGCTGCCGTAGTTAAAAACATACTATTTTTGTGTTAAAATTTTCGATTTTATATTTTCTACTTAAAAATGGCTATAACTATTTGAAAAATGTATGGTTCAACACAAATTTTTGTTTCTAAATACTTTATATATTTCTGTTTTATTCGACATGCATTTTTTTAAATCAGGCAAATTCCCCTTGTACAACGGGCGTCAAACCTTAAATATACCTGTAAAAAGTAGAACTGTATCGATTTAACTTTTGAAAAAGTTCATCTAATACTGCGTCTTTTAAATATATGTTAAATTAAAGCTTACATTATGTATTGAAAAAAAAAATTTGTCCTGACTACCTATTTTTTATGTGGAAATAGCCGTCGAAGTCGAATAAATTTATTAAATATTTATTCATATATTACACTTAAATATCATAAAATATGTAATCAAGATATAAATAAGAAAATAGGAGTTCATTTGGCTTATGAAATAATTCATCAATATTTTAAAATTAAACACTATCTACAGATTTGCATCGAAGCGTTTCTTGTGATAGTGACTTTATTCATTGTCAAATATCATCTGTACTTGTGCCAAATGTACCACAAACCCATTTTGCTATGGGTCTTGGTGAATAGAATCCCTATGATAAAAATAATTATATAATAGAGATGTATTTTAGAAGAGGTTACAAAAAAAAATTCTTACACATATCCTCGACAAAACTCTATGGATATCAATGAACTTATGTTCTATTTTCTTGTTACATCACAAGATTTAAGTTTTAGTATGTCTTTAACCAATACCAGACTTAAAATTGAGGGTTACTTAAAAGGAAAATGAGGTAAAAATAATTGTGAACTTCCTTAATCACTTGCCCTTTATATACTCACTGCAAGATAATTTTTGTACTGGTGTTATAACAATAATCAGCAATAATTGTCTAAATAAATTGTTATTATGAAAATTAAACTACAAATATATTAAAACATATTATACAGGGTGATTGACTAACTATGCCTCACGAATTTTCTTTAAAAATATTAGTATTATCGTATATGTAATTATTTTATTTGTTATAAATCTTTGTTGAGCTACTTGACAAGAAAAATGAAGATTCAATCTTCATCCCTCAACCCTTAAATCAATATCAACTTTAGTTTTTTTTTTATTAATCTTGTTAATAATAAAAAAAAAAAATTTCTCAAAAAAAAAAAAATCAATTTTAATAAATTCTAAGCGAGATATTACTATTTAAAGTTTAGGGGATTTAACAAATAAAACAGTAGTCGGGTAAATATAGTATCGTTATAATTTAGTGTACCGATAAGAAGTGGTAGCGCTTATCGATTTACGATCCATAACGTTCTCGTCTGTAATGATTTTTTCTTAATAAACCCTAAACTTTAGAGAGCCGTGGAGCGCTTAATATTTAATAAAATAAAATATTTTTTTTACAAAACATTTTTTTTTTATTAAACTAAATCTAATGGTATAAAAAAAAAATAGTGTTGCCATTTGAAAATATGAAGTTGACACTATTTTTAAGCAAAAGGGATGGTGGTAAAAATTTAAATTTTCTCGTGAAACAGCTCATCAAAGATCCATAATGATAAAAATTGTTTATAACTCTTATATTTTCAGAGATAATTCGTGAAGCATAGTTAGTCAATCACCCTGTATAAAATACTAACAAATTTGTAGGAATAATTTAGTCATAACTGTATGTAAAAACAATTCAATGTAATATGTAATAATGACTAATTATGAATTTCCTTTTAGGTAACTACTGCCGTAACTTTTACGTAATAGTTGTATTGTTTGTTTCTGAATTAATTGTTCATGAGCACCTAAGTGCTTACTCGCAAAACAAATATTTTTCAAGTAATATAAAAATGGAAACTCGCTTTGAATAGTTTAATTTTATAATTACCGCAGAAATATTTTTTAATCAAACAAATAAAAAGAATAATCTATTGACTAATGACATTATGTGAATAAAATACATACTCAATAGAACTATGAATGATTGACATTTATTGTTCGATTAAAAATAAAGATAATTAACCCAACATAACAAAAAGCACTTGAAAAAATTAGCGGATACACAAAATTTAAAAAACTAAGTTTTTGTCAAACAGATAATATCTGTTTGGCACTGAAACCAATCGGAGAAAGAGTTCAAAATATTTCTATTCATAACTACATTCCTAATTAACATGTTTAGTGAAAGTTATCTTTATAGAAAAATCAACGCTATTATTCCACTATTGATAAATTAATTTTTTATATAGTGTGATAACATATTGTGTACTGTATTTGAAGTGTTTTTCAAAATATTTAAAAGTTGTTCACTAACCACACCCAATACAACAAATCAACGTCTATATGTGTGTGTGTACAAAATAACAACATGCGCATTTTACGGTACAGCCAAAACGACAGACCGACAACAATAATGGTGTTCAATGTGACAATATTGAATTTGAAAGCAGAGACCGCTTTTGAACCAGGCCATATGTGATGAAAAATACATAGAAGGTCACTTTTTACATTAGGAGCTGATGACGCGAGGGAGACGGTGTATAATTTGGTTATTTTTGTGTTAACACCCAATCCTGTACTTAAAAGTTAAACCCCTTTTTGTCCTGCGGTGAGCGAATAATAAAAGAACAAAAAAAAACAAATAGACTTTGAGTTGGGTAAAATTTCTAATGGTTACAGCAACTAAAGCTGTAAAGTAATTGACTAAATGTATTTAAAATACTTTAATGAATATTTAATACATATTTAAACTCTTTCAAAAATATTCTGTATACTTCTAATTATTATCTAATACTGTTTTGAATTAAATACTTTTTAAACTTTTCTGTTTTATAAAAAATCAATTAAAATATATTAAAATAAAATGGTTGACTAGAGTAAATTTTGACACTTGCATCGAGTTTTATCATGAAATTCGGTAACTCTAATGATAAAGGCCAGGAAATGAGGTTTTGTTTTATTTCGTATAGTTTTG